ATTCTTACTATGTTATTCTAAAGATATTCATGAGAATTTTTATAGCAGTACCTTATCCGTGGCCATTTCTAGAGGGAAACAACTACAAATGCCAATGAATTTCATAATTTCATGGACTGTCATTGTCCAGGCAGACCAAGAGCTCTAGTCCTGGACCCATGGAACAGAAAAGGGAAATGTCGGGAAGAAACTAGTATTTACTAGTGTTCCCACTTTCTTTTATACCTTACTAAAATCATATGAAGAGTCCTGGTGTGGCATTGTAGGGTAAGCACTGGACTGCAAAACACAAGATCAGCAGTTCAAACTCACCAGCTGCTCCTCAGAAACCCTACACAGGGTCACTATGAGTCTGAACTGACTCACTGACACTTAACAACAAGTTAACAGCAATGTCACTATTACAGAAATCTTTCTCATCCTATTCAAACAGGATGGCATTGAGCCTCTGGCTAAACATATTCACTGTTCACCACAAGATCTATACTCCCACTCCCAAAAAACAGTAATGAGAGGAAAAGATGGAAAAAGAAAGACAGCTAAAGAAAATAAAGTATAGGAGAAAACAATAACAACAAAACCCCAAGAAGTAGTCATCAGTGACCAGACTACTTAATGCTGAATTACCCCAGGGTTGAGTCCTTGGAATCATTGACTATCACCCCCACTCTCTAGATAATCTCACCCACTTCCATGGGTAGAAATGTTGTTTGTGTAGTTGCCATTGATTCAGCTCCAACTCAGGGCAACCTTATGTATAGAAAAAAAAAAAAAAATCTGATTCTGTGCCATCTTTATAATTATTGGTATGTTTGTGCCCACGCCACAGAACAATATCATTAATATCACATTTTGCTAAAGATAATTCAAAAACGGTTGGAGCAGTACATTGACAGTGAGATGCCAGAAATTCAAGTCAGATTCAGAAGAGTATGTGAACAAGGGATATCATTGCTGACATCGGATGGATCCTGGCTGAAAGTAGAAAATGCCAAAAGAAAAAAATGTTTATTTGTGCTTTATTGACTATACAAAGACATTCAACTGTATGAATCATATCAAACGATGGATAACATCGCAAAGAATGGGTATTCCAGAACACTTCATTGTGCTCATTGCATCTTGGAAATGAGGACTGCGAGACTTTGTCACTCATATTTCATACGGGTTGTCAGGAAGGGCCAGTACTTGGAGAAAGACATCATGTTTGGTAGAGTGGAGGGTCAAGGAAACAAAGGAAGACCCTTAATGAGATGGATTGCCACAGTGGCAAAAACAGTGGACTCAAACATAATAGTAATTGTGAAGCTGGAACAGGACCAGGCAGTGTTTCATTCTGTTGTACTTAGGTTAACTATTTGTCAGAACTGACTTGAAGGCACCCAAAAAAACAACAAAAAGACTAATTTGGTCATTTCCTCGGCAATTCAATATTCTTGCCCAACACCACAGTTTAAATCTGTCATTCCTTTCTTATTTTGCTTATGGTTGGTTGTAAGTAGCAACTTTCAAATGCATATCTCCAAATCCGGACTTTGCTGAATTTCGGACTTTTATATCCAACTACCTTTTGCATATCATTTGACCACATCAAGTTTAACACATTCTCCACCAATTGTCTTCTCTTTCCCAGATTTCTGCTCAGACAACTGCCCTCCTATTTTTCCAGTTATTCAGGCCACAAACTTTGGAATCATTGTTAACATATCACTTTCTCTCACACCCCGCATCTATCAACATATTCTGGCCACTCGTACTTTGAAATATTTCCAGAACCCAACTATTTCTTACCCTTCCAATGGCAACCACTCTGTATTAATCTATCTTCATCTGTTATCTAAATTATTACAACTGTCCTCCGTGTTTGTCCCCTCTAGTCTGCCAAGGTAATTTGCTGTGTGGTCTGACTGCAAGCCTCCGCCCTGTCTTCATTCCTCAACATCCAACTCCTTAGTCCCTCTGGCTAGTGATTTTTGTTGTTAATTGCCGTCGAGTCAGTTCCGACTCGATATAGTGACCCTGTATAAGGTTTCTGAGGAGTGGCTAGTGAGCTTAAACCGCCGCCCTTGTGATTCAAACCGACTTTGGTGTCCAGTGCATTAATCCACACCACCACACAAGAGTTCCCTGCCTAGTCATAGAGTCTCCTTTTGTCCTCAAACATACTCTTATTTCAAGCTTTATAGTGACTCTTCCTTCTCTGTGAAACACTCTGTGTAAAGTCCATGTTTGTGACATCCTTATTTTTTTCATGTCTCTCTATTGAAATGACAGCTATGGCCTTAAACAGAAAAGCCTTCCCTTCCTATACTATATAAAATAGTGCCCACCCTCCAGGCATTCCAGGACTCTCATCCAGCTGTTCATACTCCTTATCCTACTTTTTACCATCAAAAATATTTTTCTTCATAAATAAATATGAGTGTACATATATGTAAAATAGAGAGATATATATTTGTGTATCAATGCAGGACTTGGCAAACTATGACCAACAAACCAAATCAAATCCCTTAATCTGTTTTTATACAGCCCACAGCTAAGTATGGTTTTTAATATTTCTATGAGATTGTAAAAACAAATACCAAAAAAATGTAAATAAAGTTGAATATGTGACAAAGACTGTATGTAACCCACAAAACCATAAGTATTTACTTTCTGGTGTTCTGCAGAACAAGTTTGCCAACCCCTGTAATAGTGTCTTTTCTGTATTCTCATACTAAAATGTAAACTCCTCGAGCACAGGAATTTTGTTGTTGTTGTTCATTGTCATACCCCACAGCAGATAGAATAGTGCCTACTACAAAAAAAGTAATAAGAAGAAAGAAAGAAAGAAAGAAAGAAAGAAAGAAAGAAAGAAAGAAAGAAAGAAAGAAAGAAAGAAAAGAAATTCCACTTCCCACTGCTGTTAAATCAATTCCAACTCAAGAGGCCCCTATAGAGCAGAGTGGAACTGCTTACTAGGGTTTCTGGTGCTATAAATCGTCTAGGAGCAAACTGCTTCATCCTTCTGCCACAAAGCAACTAGTGAGTTCAAACCACTAACCTATCATTAGCAGTCCAACTCTTAACCCACTGCCTCACAGGGGCCCCTTTGCCCACTACAAAGTAAATGCTAAACAAATATTTTTTAAAGAGTGAATCAAGACAAGGAGACTTTGTGAGGTCTGCCGACTTGTCCAAGGTCCCAAGGAAGGTCAGAAATGAATCATGACTCAAATTTAAGTCCATCTGATTCCACAGAATCCTGAGGTCCCAGAGTTGCTTGCAACAGTGATTTGAACCCACTTGTTTTCTACCAAAAAGTCCCTATTGTAGCATATTTGTAGCATGCATATCAGGTAAAAGAACAGAAGCTGAAAGGAGAAAGCCTCAGCATTATACCATAATGATTTATTACATCTGATATCAGCCATATTCAATGTACTTTTATATAAATCATCTCTTCTTAGCTTCACCAAATTTGTATATGAGTAGATAAGGCAGATACTATTAGTCTATTGTACAAAGCTCAGTTTCAAAGAGGTACATGAAATTGGCTCTCACAAGTAGTGAGTAGCAGAAATAGAATAGAATCCATATTTACTCTGAAAACTTTCACTCAAATCACAATAAAAAGGCCACTTTAATGAAAAACATTTTTTTAAAAGAATGCATACGTATTACTTTCAGTTGAGAACTTTACACTGAAGTGGACTAATGTCTATCTTCTCAACTCTGTTGATAGGAAAATGTGCTATCATGGCCATGGAGGACTTTAATAGAGCAGCAACCCAGTAACTTCTAAAAAATCAGGGATGCTATGGAGTTCTGTGATATGCAAGCAAACCTGCTCAGCTCAAGTGACTACCTTCCAATAGCCAGAGGCAACAGCAAAGATAGAACTTTGAAATGGAAGCAATGAATAGGAAAATAGTTGAAGATACCACAAACCAGGATTTTATTGGTACAGAGTATGACAATACCACAGAATTCATATGCCACCAGGCCCATGATCATCTTCAAGAAGAAAGCCAAGGAAACTGACAATTATCTTAGTCTGACACTTGTATCCACAGCTGTCATATCCTGGACCAGTTGCTATATCTAATCAGCCGTCCTCTAAGGCAGCTGATTTTAGAGCTTAGGGTATTTGATTGAGAAACTACGTGTGTTTCTTGGCTGCCAAAGGTCAGCCTTGCAAACTTTGTGAATGCCAGTGGTTGTCTTATTCAGCTTGGAGGTCATGATGCTGCCCCCTGGAGTTAATTTATATCTGACATGCAGCCATACACTGGTGAACATACCAACTGAGAATGTTTCCAACAGTCTAATTTGAAATGTTTGTCCCTTTGTCCTTATAACCTTCTTGGCATTTTGTCAGGTCATGTGTTTCAATTCTTTTGTTAGAATATGCCATCTTTATGAGCAATTGAAGCAGCTATACTAAATTTTTGTCCATTTCCCCATCTTTTCACTGTACTCAAAAGTTAATATGGCACAAATACTAGGAAACTGTAAAATTAAACAAATCAAAGTCTCATTTTCCTGTTAGGATTACATAGGATTTTTAGGTGCTGAATAGCTACCATTTTTAAATCAAGTTTAATAATTATAATGTTTTCTTTAAATATTTTGTATGATGACTTGGGTTTAAAAAAATCAGTGAACTACATCAAAACTACAAACATATCATTTTGGTTCAAGACTTAAACTTAAGTCTTTACATAAAATAAATTGGTCTACTTCCTTTGGAAATAACATTAATAATAGCACTGAAGAAAATGGAACAAGGATCAAATACTTTACCTAAAAATTCTCTGTATCCAAAACAACAACAAAGAACTTGAAAGTGTTAAATCAGAGTCATGTATAAGTAGATGATTCGTGCTGTATTGTATGTTCTGAGAAGTTTTCTAGCAGTGTTCATGTAAAGTTTCCTTGAAACTTAAGGGGAAGATATATTCGAGAACCCTGTATTTCTACTGTCATAAGCAATAAAAAGTGTATGTTTTTGTTGTCAGGCTTGAGAAAGAGATCCAGGGTCTTGAAAAGGCTGAACTGCAAATCTCAACCAATGAGGAGGCAATTTTAAAGAAACTGAAATCAGTTGAGCGTACAACAGAAGACATAATAAGGGTAAGCACTGACTAATATTAATACTATGATTCCTTCTAAAATGAGTCCTTGTGTATACAGTCATTCATTGCTTGAGGTCCAGAATATGTTTTGTAAAACAGGACGTTACGTGATCTGTTGTTGTTGTTATTGTTGTTAAGTGCTGTCAAGTTGGTGCCGACCCATAGCAATCCTTATATGGTTTCTAAGGCATGGCTGGTGGGTTTGAACCACCACCTTCAGTTCAAATCAACCTTGCAGTTCAGTGCTTGTTATACAAGCCAGATTTGGATGTTGTGTAAACAGCATACTACATATAGGCAGTTCCCAGATTACAAATGAGCTCCATTCCCAAATCTGTCTTTAAGTCGAATTTGTATGAAAATCAAAACAGGTACGATTCATATCTAATATCAGTTAGTCAAATATTTGTCTTCGTACATAGTATAATTTTCTATGCATAAAAAAATACATTAAAGAAACGTTTCCAGATACTCTAAAATAGTTTAAACCTAATAATAGTTTAATAATAATGGTGATGTTTTGATATGTTTCACAAAGTAACATCAATTTGTTACTACAAACTACTGTGTGTATCTTAGGTTACTAATAGGCTTTCTGAGGGTTGGGACCACAGACATATAAGTGGTCAGATGTTGCTCAAACAAACATTATGTGGTGCATGACTGTAATTTGGTGAAGCATATCCACATTTATAATTTATTTTTTAAATGTAATAATCATAGAGAATTCTCTTTTTCTTACAGTCTGTGAAAGTGGAAAAAGAAGAAACATCAGGAGGTATGCTTTTGAACAGCCTATTTTATGGGTAATCAACATATTTTGGATAAGCCCACTGAAATGTTTCCCATTATTGTAAATGTATTCTAAATGTATTTTGAACTAACATTAATTTTAGAGTCAATTGAAGACATCTATGCCAATATCCCTGATCTACCAAAATCCTACATACCTTCCAGGTTAAGGAAGGAAAGAAATGAAGGAACAGAAGATGATGAACAAAATAGAAGAGGTATGAAATATCTGTGTTCAGTGGAATGCTCTCAGTTTCAGATTTTACGACTTTGCTGTGATAGTCTATCTTCCAAATTAAGCAACAATTCCCACTTTACAGTTTCACGAGGTATATGAGTCATTTATATGAATAAGGATAATAGGATTATAGTATTTATTCCATGTATTTTATTTCCTAGTAAAGTAGGAATCTTGGTGTGGTGCTGTAGGATAAGCATTGGACTGTTAACAAGGTCAGCAATTCAAGCCCACCAGCTGCTCCTCAGAAGCCCTTTTGTAGAATTGTTATGAGTTGGAATCAACTCAGTGACACTTAACAATAACAACAGAATAGGTAGGAAGGAAAAGATAACAGCCTGAAGGAAAGGTGGAACTGTTAAAAGGTTCTCTGCTCAAAACATTTCTCCCAACACATTCCACCTAGAGACAAAATTTTGAGTTACAAACATTCTTTTTGTCAATGAAACTATTCCTTTGGGAAAGATTGTTGTTAAGTGCCTTCAAGTCAGTTCCAACTCACAGCAACCTTGTATAGGGTTTCTGAGGGTCAACTGATGAGTTTGAACCACCAATCTTGCAATTCAAACCGACCTTACAGTCCAGCACATTAACCCACAGTGCCATACCAGGAAGTATGGGCATTATTTTATGCCATGTAAGGATGATTTTCATTGAATTAGCATTTCAATGGAGTCCTATGAGTTAGAACCAACTCAGCGGCTGATGAGCTTGAACCACAGACCTTGTAGTTCAAACCGCTTTGCAGTCTGGTGCATTAACTCACAGCGCCACACCAGGACTTCTCTATATGTTTAGCTCAGTCTAAAACTAAAATTACAATGGTAGATACAACAGAAAAAATCCACCCCCACCACCCCCATTGGAACAGACATTCTAGGTAATAAAAAAAATTAGACAAATAAATACATCATGTTAGTGGAAATGCTAAAAAGAAAAATAAAGCAGAGAAGTGCTGTACAAATCAGTCTAGAGAAAACTAAGATCATGCACTTCGGTCACCAGGTTGTGTGGTGGATAAAAATTCAACCTGCATCCTATGGAAATCTCAACTTCTCTTCCCTATACAGTTTAGATCCCAGCTGCCCACACAGCCCAGCCTTCTCTCACCCCCAGATATTAGGGCTTTCTCCCTCAGAGTGTCTGCTGAGTTTGAACCATGAACCTTTCAATTAGCAACTGAGCACTTAACAACTACACCACCAGGACTCCTAATCAGATCCCAGCTTCTCCCAAATCAACCAGCTCTCTCAGAACAATTGTTTCAGCACAGCTAATACTTACTGCTTTATTTTTAGGCCTTTCCCTACGTGAAACTGGTGGTAAAAATGATCACAAACAAAAGGCAAAAAGAAAAGCATGTATTCTAGCTTTCTCCCTTCCTCTTCAATACCGCTTCTACATTTAAGTTAAATTCCTATTGTGAAAAGTTTAGAATACTTTGTAATTTGAACAGGTTGCTGGCCTGTGACACAAAGATGTAGTAGGTCAATAAAATAGAATGAAGCATTTTATCTGCTATAATGCATTGTTGTTGTTGCTAAGTGCCATCCAGTCAGTTCCAATTCCTAGTAACACTGTATAGGATTTCTGAGGAGTAACTGGTGGGTTTGAATGACCAACCTTGTAGTTAGCTGTCCAGTGCTAATTATACAGTGCCATACCAGGACCCATTGTAATACATAGTGCAGCATAGTCTTCTTAACTGAAAAAAAAAAAAAGAAAGAAAGAAACTCCTCCTGTTGAGTAATGCAAAGGAGTGTAAATCTGTTTTCTTGGGTTTATTATTTGGAAAGAGGCTATCATTTGGTTCCCTCAAAGATAGTCCATATGCTCTAGAACCATAAGTTTCTCTTCTCCAATCTCTTTTGTTTCTCAGTAATTCCTTATATGCTTACATAAAAACCCTTGTCATTAAAATGTTGGTTGTTATATAATTAAGGATTAAGATCAGATTTTTTAAGATAACATCTCACATTAAACACATACACACACACACACACACCCCAAAGGTATATTCAATATAAAAATCAACACGGTGAAAGTAGGCTGATTTATGAGTAAAAGTTAAATCAAAGGTCAAATTTGTCTCTTAACAGCTTTGTATGCCATGGAAATTAAAGTTGAAAAAGACTTGAAGACTGGAGAAAGCACAGTTCTGTCTTCAATACCCCTCCCATCAGATGACTTCAAAGGTACAGGAATAAAAGTTTATGATGATGGACAGAAGTCAGTGTATGCGGTAAGCTCTAATCACAGCGCAGCATACAATGGCAATGATGATCTAGCACCAGTTGAGGTAGAGGAACTTTTAAGACAAGCCTCAGAGAGAAACTCTAAATCCCCAACAGAGTATCATGAGCCTGTATATGCTAACCCATTTTGCAGACCTACAACTCCACAGAGAGAAAAGGTAAACCCTGGATCAAGCTTTCAAGAAAGGATGATGATTAAAGTTAATGGACTGAGCAATAATGTAAATGAATCCATACACAATATGGACAATGGACTTTCAGAGGAAAGAGGCAACAACTTCAATCATCTCAGCCCCATTCGTCCAATACCTCATCCTCGATCAGTAAGTCAACAACAAGAGGAGAGACCTCACACTCCACAAACGAGGCTTATGACTCCTTGGGAAGACTCTAATGTAATGCAGGACAAACATGCACCCTCTCCCAAGGCAAGACTGAGCCCCAGCAAAACAAGACTTGAGAAGTCAGTGGCCCAGGCTTCTTCACCCACTTGCGAGGAGGATGAGGAAGATGTTAAATATAACATTGTTCATTCCCTGCCTCCTGACATGGGGGATGAGGAGCCAGTAACTATGATTTTCATGGGTTATCAGCAGGCAGAAGACAATGAAGAGGAAAAGAAGCTTCTGACAGGCTATGACGGAATCATCCACGCTGAACTGGTTGTGATTGATGATGAAGAGGATGGTGAAGAAGCTGGAAAACCATCCTACCATCCCATTGGCCCCTACAGTCAAGTTTACCAGCCTGCCAAGCCAACGCCACTTCCTAGAAAGAGATCAGAAGTTAGTCCCCATGAAAACACAAACAATAAATCTCCCCACAAAAATTCCATATCCTTGAAGGAACAAGATGAAAGCTTAGGCAGCCCTGCCCACCATTCTCAGCTTGATGTTCAGATTGCTGGAGATGGGACTGAGGATCCATCCTTAACAGGTAATAAAGATAATAAAAGTAACAAGACGTGCCACTGCTGTGTAGTCATGTGACAATCTCTTTGACTAATGTACATAAAAATATTCTTATTAGTGCTGATCTGAATTATTATCACCATAAGTGATTGTTACTACAAAAGGTAAAGAAACAGAAAATCAACTGTTGCCTTATTTGGATATGACATGAGTTTACCTTAGAAACTTGAAATCCTTCTTCTGTCATAGTATGGTATACTGTATTTGAATGTATTTGGGCAAGTAATATTGGATCATTGATATCATTTCTTTTTCCCATGAGGATCTAAAACTAACTAATAATTTGTGACTCACTGTGATTTAAACTTTCTATACACATTAACAAATTGCCTTAATTTCACAAGAAAAAAAACACAAATTCTATTTTCTGAATATTTTACCTATTTTGCTACATCTTGTTTCTCCATACTTTTATAGTCCTATTAACTTTATTTCCTTATTTTGTCTACATTTTAAAATAGCATGTCACTTCACTTTGCATAATCTACAACTTTTAACTGCATAATCTTGTTCAGTTTAGCAAAATTATTTTTTTCTATTTTCTATCTATTTGTATTTTCATTTTTACAGTTTCATAACTAAAACACTGACAGGAAAATAACACTTTTTTTTTTTTCCACAAAAGTGTAAGCTCATCAATTTTAGATTCCTTGTTATCACTTGAATATTTTATTCTACTTATCATTGATAAAGACTAAACAAGGACCTGACACAATCTATTATAATGGCTCTGGTAGCATAGTGGTTACAAATTGGGCTGCTAACCTCAGGGTCAGCAATTCGAAACTACCAGCTGTTCCGTGGGAGAAAGATGAGGCTTTCTGCTCCCGTAAAGATTTACAGCCTTGGAAACCCTGCACAGGGTCGCTAAGAGTCGGAACCAACTCCATAGCACATAACAACAACAACATACTTATCTTGGCTAAAGACATAAATAAAATTACCCAGACATACATGTTCTAGATGTTTGAAAAAGATAGCCATTTTAAGTGTCTCTAAAGGAAGAATTCTCATTAAGAAGCAATAAGTATTAAATCCTAATCAATCCAGCAAACAGAACTGATAGAAGTATAGTAGTACCTGCACAATTCAGGAAGGTCTCTGCTTTTACTACCCATAAACGTGCTATGGGGCTACCAATAATGCAATAAAATAGATTCTACTGCATTTTTAAACTATTTTGCTTAAGCATATTCAATTGCAAATTTAATTATCTGAAGACTATCTAGCTAGACTCTCAGGAAGTGTGCATTTATATTATCTTCTTAAATCAGAGTTGAATGATGTGTCCCCACAATGAAAACCTTCAAAGACTGAAAGGTTCTTTCCAGTTTAAGAATGAGTTTTATTTGCTCCTCAACTTTGCATCTTACATTCATTTTAGAAACAACACAAAAGACTTAGAAAATAGGGGCACACTCTTTACGGTCAAGAGCAGTCACAAAGCAACTACATTACCTGCTATAAAACCTTTCTTCTTTGAATTTGGATGTTAGCCAGCGCCTTCGGAACTCCCTTATTCCTTCTCCTTTAACAGTGTCAACATATTTACCCATGGAAAAAGACAGGAAGTGACTAATGTTTCCAGACAACACTAATCATACCACTGAACTAAAATAATGAAAACAGGAAAACCTATTCCAGACAAAGTAACAATACAAAGTTCTGTACTATCAATCAAACCATCTTGCAAACAGAATGCTCCAAATTCCTTGCCTTCTATCATATTATTCTATATTCCTGTTCCCCCTCCACCCCCCAAAAAAATCAAGTTTTATGGTTAACTATACACCTCAATTCGACAAGCAATAAGTAGGTTGAGCTCCCCATGCCCCAAAAAATATACTTGTAACACTTGAATATTTACCATTTCAGGTCATTTCTTTTGTCTGTGGTATAAGTCCCTTATTAAATATAAATATTACTGTAGGTATAATAGTTAAGAATTATTCATCTCTTTTCCTTTAGTATAGGTATGGTTTTTCAAAGCCTAACCTAAGAGCTATTTTTAATTTGAGGAAAAAGCATGAAGAAGAAAGACAGAAAAATTGATTTTTTAGTCAAAACTTGGAGCAGGTTAACACATAACAGGAAAATTTAGACAGGTATGTCCATCTACTTATGTAAACATAATGTGGCCTTGTTCTAAGGTAGAGTTCAGTGCCAGACGCTTATACTATTGAGTGACATCAAGTTTTTACTGTGAATGATTAGCCCCATTAACTAACACAACTAGCTTTGTTTAGCAGTCTTCATCAAACTATTCTTGGACATTTTCCTTCCAGCTCTATTCTCTCCCTTTAGAGATGTCGGTGGCATTTCAGGATGAAGAGGTGGATAACCTCACCTAGGGTATTTACATGCTATTAGTGCCAAAATTGCCAGTCTGAGGTAGCTGTTAGGAGCCAAGGAATACTGGGAACCAGGAGGAAAGCATTCTTTGACCAAGTTCAACCGCACAAAACTATGTGTCTGAATTGGAGGATGCAGGGATCACAGAAGAACAGAAAGGAGAAGTAAAGGGGAGAGCTAGATGACTCTAATTTTTTAGCAGCTGCACCTAGTGATCTTCTCAGTGCCGTCATTCTCTGGTCCCACACATCTACAAAGAACCCACACCAACTATTTGCAGTAGGCCTGAGGAAAAGAATACTAGACAATCCTGAACACTTTTTCCCTTGGAAAAAAAATTAAAAATAGAACAGTGATTCACTAGATTACCCAGTCCTGAGGATATTCTAATACAGAATGTCTTCAAGAACTTCAATGAATGACCATGGCACCCAGGATGTGCCTAATTTACTGAATCTCAAGGTGAGGAGTAATTGTAGGAGAAAGGATTTGCCCCTTCCTTAATAGAGTCCTTTAAAAAGTTCCTTAAAACAAACTTATCCCCTGCTGGGGGGTTTTTGTTGTTGTTGTTGTGTTTTGGTGTTTTTTGTTTGTTTGTTTGTTTGTTTGTTTTGCATGGACAAGGCAGAGGTCCCTGAAATCCAGGAGTAGAAATTGTATGAAGCCTTGCCTTCTGCCCTCAGTTCACATCCTCCTATGGAACCAGAGTCCTCTCCTTAGATTTCTCATCAACCATCTCCTAGGAATAGAAATTTTCTTCTTGAGAGCAAAGAAAATTCTTCCAATCAATCCTAAATTCAAGGGAATATTCTTGGACCTCTCATTATACATAATCATTCCTCATGCAGTACCAAGGGAAATAAGGCTTTTAAAGTTCCTTTAAATGAAAATATCTCATATACTTAGAATGACAATAAATTTGATCATTGTGTTGTTCAGTTTTGAATCCCATTCAATAAAAATACCTGTGCCTTCTCATATTTGTGAAAAAGAGCTTCTTTGAAATAAGATCGTTCCTTTGTTAACAGACAATGAATATATGACTAAGAAATTAGGGCTCATGTCCCCCCTTCCTTTGTTGTTTTTCATTAAATCAAACTGTGCAATCAATTTAATAGCTGGTTCTTGGGCCATATTACACGTGAATGTAATGATCAGTGCCAATACCAGTGCACCAGCAAAGTGTTAAAAGTTAGAAACATACATTTTAAAAAAATGATTGCTCTATCCAGTGTATCATTAGCAATGGAATATGCTCAAAAAAGATATATTTATCATTTGAAAGGATACCTATACATCATCTACACATCTTGACAAAGGTATTTTATAATAACCTCAAATCTAAATTACTAGTTCATATTCTTGCATTCATAAATCTGTTTGGTCATTCTACTCCAAGGATGGAATCCCCTGGGATAACCAAATTTGCTAAGGTAAACAATCAAGCAGCCATCACAAAAAGTGCCAATGCCTTTTTTTCTTTTTTTAATAATATATAACTCAGAAATATGCAAAAGAAATCATTAACCTAGAGGAATGTACAATAGTATAAAGTGCTACACTAATCCTATATTTACCTAACTAATGTTTTTTGTTTGTTCTACTAATTTTTCTAATCTTTATAGAAATAGGTTCCTTCTAGTTCTGAACCTGCTTCTACCCTAAGTTAACCATAGTTTATTATTTCTACTCTTTGTGCTACTAAAACAATGCTCACATTGCTGGATAAAATCATCTGAGGTATGTTCTAAAACTTCCTGCATTCTATGAAATGGTCATTTTGAGTGATAATTAAGGCTTTTGTTAATAACTTTTTTTTCTTTAATTTTCAGCTTTAAGGATGAGAATGGCAAAGCTGGGGAAAAAAGTGATCTGAGACGTGTACCATCTATGTAAACATCCTTTGGAGAAGAAACTAAGTTTGCAAATTTCTCTTCTGAATATTTTTGTTTCGTTATCCTGAAATCTGAAAACTTATGGCAAATACCTATACTAAGCCATGTGAATAAGCAGTAGCTATTAATTGTGAAAATTCCTGAAAAAGCTGAGAATAAAAAATGCTTGGCTTTCCAGTTACTTGACATGGTTCAGTGGGGGGAAGAAAACCAGCATATTTTTATTGTATTGATACCAAAGCATTTCTAATAAGAGCTTGTTAAAATTAAGAATAAAGTTGTTTAAAACAGCCTGACTGTATTGTATAAACTGTCATCGAACTTTGCTAATCAAATGTCAAAAGATCAGTAAGCCATGGTACCTCTCAGCAGAAATATTCATCTTTTACTTGGACAAGTATGTCATCCCAAATCAACAAAATAACCACATCCTCCATCTGAGAACCAATTGAACTGGTTTGGTAGAAACTATACATCTTTGCACAGACCCCAAAGGTGCATGCAGTAGTTATCCTCAGAGTTTAGAACTGGATTTGGATTATCTTGATAGTGAAGTCTTCACAGGTGGTAAGTGGTATATTCGTTTCTCTAAAATTATCATGTGTTTATCACTGAATTCAATAGGTCTCCATAGTTGTTGTTGTTGTTATGTGTCGTGGAGTCAGTTCCAACTCACAGCAACCCTGTACAGGGTTTCTGAGGCTGTAGATCTTTACAAGAGCAGAAAGCCTCATCTTTCTCCTGCGGAACAGCTGGTAGTATCGAACTGCTGACTTTGAGGCTCGCAGCCCGATTCGTAACCACTACGCTACCAGAGCTCCATAGTGCAACGACTAATTCTGACCTTGAGACCTTATGTCAACTTCACATATTCTCAAAAAACACAAACCTGTTTACCTAATGTTTGGCCAATTCATATCAACAAGTTAGCCATCCTAATATTAAAACTAATGTCTGAAATACCTCATTCCTAAGACAATATTCCTATGAGCCAGTGTAATACACAGCATAATTTTAACACTCTTTTGCAAGAATTCTAAGGAGCTGGTCGATAAGTTCAGCTCCATCTAATTCAATAAACACTTGTTGACCATCTACTACATTCCCTGCACTAAACTAACCATTAGACACACAAACATGAATTTGTACAGTCTTTGGTCTTGTAAAGTTTACATTAGTTTAGCAGGGGAAACAAATACATAACCAATTATACCATAATAGTAAAGGCATTCAATTGCTATGGGAACAATATTGTGCCTTAGAAGATAAATGAACGCTTCACAGAAAGGTGGTGTTCAGGATGACTCTTGAAGGAGAAAAAGGAATGGCCAGGAAGTAAAGGTAGAAGTCTAGAGTAGAAGCTTGTGCTAAGGGCCGACTTAAAGACAAACACTGTTTTATTCATCTGTATACTAACCCAAGAGACTTTCATATTTTATAGCATAAAATAGATGTTTAATAAGTCTCTAACTCAATGACAAATACAGAGAAAACTGTGAGAGCTTGAACTAGACAGGCCAGCCTCTTTTTCCCAGGTCTCACAAGTGTTCTGCCTTTGACAGAACACAGTCAGCACACTTCATTCATTCTCTGGAGTCCAGGTGTAGTGCTGAGGGTTAATGTGCTGGACTGCAATGTCGGTTTGAAGAGCAAGGTCAGCAGTCATTCACTCTCTAGTTAGTGGGAAATCTTTGAGTTTTCCTTTTCCGACAGATTTCTATCTTACACGGGTTCCGGCTTTTGCAGGTTTTACAGCTGTACCAAATTACTGCATCCCCCAAACATACTCCTTTCTTCATCCACAATATCAATATTGACAATTGAAGAAATTAGAATTTGTTAGTGGCATTTGGATGAAAAGTTACTCTTTGGGAATTGGAAGAGTCATGACTTTACCTACCGAGTCAATTCTAATTCATGGAGACCCCATATGTGTAAGTGTAGCAATGTGCTTCATAAGGTTTTCAATGACTGATTTTTCAGAAGTAGATTGTCAGGTCTGTCTTCTGAGCCACATCTAGGTGGACTCCAACTTCCAGCCTTTGGTTAGCATTAACTTCTCCCACCATCTGCCAGTTTTCCCTTAAATATAAGTAAGTAAATAAAAGAGCACCCCAGCTAAACCAATCATGTTATTGTTGTTGAGTGCTTTCAAGGACTTTCCAACTCATAGTAGCAGCTTGTGGGTTTGAATTGTCAACCTTGAGGTTAGCAGTCCAGTGCTTATCCTACAGTGCCACACCAGGGCTCCAAACCACTCATGTAAACTATTATGTGTTTGTTTATTACCTTCCAGTAGTCTTCTTAAGAGATCAGATCTGAGCTATGGGTTGTACTGTGTTTTGTGCCCTCTCACCTGTTCAATCTATGGACTCTGGGTCAGGTTTGGAAACTGGGGTGGGATTGCTAATTGATATTTTCCAGTTATACACATCCAGCAATACCCCAGCCAGCTGCCTTTCAATGGTTCATTTGCCATTGCCACAATCAGGTTTGTTTCCTGTTATAGAACTACAAACAATGCCACCTGACTTATGCTATGCAAAACTCTATTACTCCGTTGATACCAGAAATCCTAATTCCATGGCAAAATCTCCAATGGGCAACCCTGGCCACCACTAAGCTTCTCAAAGATGTAAATTACCCTTCTTTCCAATACTTTCCCCCATTGCTTTAGTGAAGGGAACATACTCTAAACCTCACTGAGAGGGTCTCTGTTCTCTTTAATAAATCATTCTAACATCTCCAATTTTTGAGACTTTTGACCCTTTCCTTAATACTCTGCTAAGGTCATTCCTTATAATTCATGAGGGACTTGGACTGACGGAAAGTACAGAGAGAAAGGCGAAGATGGACTTGTGGATTTAATAGGTCAAAGATAAACTTCACACTCCCACGTGCAGTGATTTTGTTATTGGGTGTGTGATTGAGTCAATCTGGAATTTTTCAGAAAAAGTGATCAGACCTCCAACTGTCTCTGGGTGAGTAACCATAACCTGGGTGGGACTGGAGTAGGCTGTTTGCATTCCTGCCTTTGCATCTAAAAATCACTCTGTAGGAGTTTCCTGGTTCCAAGACCACCATTGACCTTACTGGAGCCTGTGACAGGAAATTTTAAGCCAATTCAAAGATGCCCAGAAGAAATAACTTTCAAAGAAACTACTATGCACTCAGGGAGCACAGCAACTCTGCAAGATAAGCATTGGACTGCTAGCCACAAGTTCTGCAGTTCGAGCCCGTAAGACATTACATGGCAAAAAGATGAGGATTTCTGCTCCTGCAAAGATTTACAGCCTCATTACACAGGATCAGTATGAGTCCGAACTGACTCACTGGCACTTAACACCACCACCAAGATCATTCCAACATCTCCCCCACTCACTATAGACCGTTGTGTCAAATTTCAGGGAACTGTGTAGCACCACATTAGTGCCAATTCCACATATTCTTGCCATGATATTTAATCCTAATTTGTGGGAATTTTGCCATTTAACTCTCTCCTTGTCTGCATTAGTACATTTCCCTCCACCCAACATCCTCAAGAGTTACTCTCAGGCGTTTCCGTAGATCTTGCAGGTTCATATTACGCCAATCCTGCAAGTCTTTCAGTGAATAGTCTGTTTGAGGGTAGAAACAGAATTTCCCGACAGGGATTATGACCTGGTGTTAGTTATCAGAGGTGAAAAAGTGAACGCTGAGGGGGACTGTAAGTTCTCCTGAAGGGGAGGGGGACTGTGGATGCTAACCCAGAATGTTTTGGAATATCCAGAAATTCAAATTTCTGAGATAGGCTCACTCAGTTTTCCCCATTCCAGGTCTAAACATACCCCTCTGACTTTAGCAAAAGTAATCTATCAAACCTGCACATTCCTTTGTAACTTTCCCACCCTCATGATTAAAACGTGGTTCTCCTTTTCATCACAGTGTGCCCTCTGGTTGCAGGATATGTGGGTCTCTTTAAACATTACCATGGGACCTATCTGGCTTCCCATAAAGCTCCTTGTTGTTAGGTGGATGACCTGTGCACAATAATGTATCTCCAAACATTCTAAAGCAATTAGTAAAAAATACCTGGTGGGTTCAAATGGTCAACTTTTTGGTTAGCTTTTGTTAACCATTGTGCCAGCAAGGCTCTTTAATGAACCAATAGAGATATATTATTATTAATAAAGTTTATAGTTTATTCTGATTTCCAGAGTTTCTACCTAATATCCTATTCCTGTTTCAGGATCCCATCCAGGAGACCTCATTACATTTAATTGTCATGTCTCTTTAGACTCCTGTGACAGTTTCATAGACTTTGTTTTTTATAGCAATGACAATTTTGAAGACTGGTCAGCTATTTTGTAGGATGCTCCTTTATTGGAATGTGTCTGATGTTTTTCTCACTATTAGACTGGTGTTACGGGTTTAGGGGAGGAAGACCACAGAGGTGAAGTGCCATTTTCATCACATGATTTCAAGGATACAGATATTGATATCACAGAAGCGTGATTTGATTGTTCATGTTGACCTTGATCACCTGACTGAGGTATCATTTGTCAGGTTTCTCCACTGTAAAATTACTTTCCTCAATGTCTGTTGTATTTTTTGGAAGGAAATGATTGTGTGCAGCTCACACTTAAGAAGTAGGAAGTTTTGCTGCCCCTCTTGAGGACAGAGTAGCTATATCAATTATTTTGGATTTTTTTGCACAAGAGATTGATTGATTAATTATCTAAACCAGTGAACTCTCACAGAAGATGTAATTTGGTACCAGCAGAGGGGTGATGCTTTAACAGATACCTAAAGTATGGAAGCATTTTGGAATTAGGTAATGAGTAGAGTCAGGAAGAGTTTTAAGTATCTAATAGTAAAAATCTGGAGTCCTTGTGTTGCGCTGTGGGTTAATGCGCCAGACTGCAAAGCCATTTGAACTGCAAGGTCAGTGCTTCAAGCTCACCAGCTGCTCCTCGGAAACCCTATACAGGGTAACTATGGGTCGGAACTGACTCGACAGCACTTCCCAACAACAATAAAAAAAAAGTCTACATTGCCTTGAAGAGACTATTGGATGTCAGAGGCAATTAGGTGAGAACTCAGATTAAAGCGAGAAGAGTTGTAGCACTGGAGATGACACAGAGAGCAAGAAACAGAAGCAAAAAACAGTAGCAGAAGAACCAGGAGACAAGTGTAAGGTGGTGTGGGAGTCAGCCAACAGAGCAAAAGAGCTGAATGCCTTTCAGTCAGAGGCTTCCTGGTGGAATGGAGAGGCTCCAGGATCCCACTGGTAGGAGTTAAAAAGCTTT